GCATTTATTGATTGGAATTACCTGATAATACACACTAGACGTAAAACTTACAGTTGCTGTTTGAATATTTTATGTTTATTTTAATTGTTTAACAACGTTTTCACAAGTAAAACATGGACCCAACTTTAGGGACACATTTCTTTTCTATGTTCCTAACTATGGCCCATGAAATTCATTTGACAGCATATAGCAATAAGAGTAACGTCAACAATGTTGTTTTGCATTTGGATGATAAGGAACGAACAGGAAGGGAGATTTTTTCTGCCAAACCTGTATAATGAACATCACAATGTTCTGATTTAGATATTCTGCGGTCAAAAGACGATAAGCGAAATTTTTAATTTTTAATTTTTAAATTGAGTGATTTAATGTAGTTTTCGTAAAATTTTCTCTAAGAAATGTTTTGAGGAATGAAGAGCATTAAGTTAACAGTGATAGTGATAAAAAAAAATACATCAGAAAACGTTACCAAGAGCGTTTTTTTGAGGATCAAACAAGATAGGACGAAGTTGCATCCATAAATAGACCCAATTTGGGGACAATAGACCCATATTACATACATTTCCCTCGTGAGTTATTGTCTTAAAAAAAGTAAGTTTTTCAACTTTTCGTGGTTTCTGATAGCAAACGACATGATAAGCATATCTAAGCATACCATTTAGCAGTAGAATATCGTTTGCAGGTAAATTCATTGATGAGTTATGATTAAAAACGTAATCGATGGCTGCATATTAGACCGAGGTTAGGGACGTATACCCTATGCTGACGATATGAAACTGTACATGGAAATCTTTGACAATTCTGATTTGCTACATTTTAAAAATGAAATTGATGTTTTCTACAACTGGTGCGTTAAAAGTCTGCTGGATATTAATGTTAAAAAATGCAATATTATATCATCCCAAGTAACACATAAAACATCTTTTTGAAAAAGAATTAGAACGGCTTGTTGTATAAATGTATTATAAGAGATGCAGAAAACATCCCACGTTATATATGAGGTTTAAAGATGTTTTCTTCATACTTCTTTGATTCAACATTTTCCAAAATAGTTTTCTTTTGCTTTTATCTTAAAATGTTATTTGAACGTGCATCTTACTGTTTGAATACCACTATAAAACTTGTCGTATACAAAATCAATCCAGATTGACGTAAACATTGACGGTGCCTTTGAGCCGGACTGTCTCTTCATGCAGTGATTGACAGTTTCTTATGAGGTATTCGGAGGTTTGTTATAAAGAAAGTTGAAAATACTTTTTTATGACATCTCATAAATTAATACAACTGAAAATGTGCAGGTTGTCTTATAAGGAGTTGAAAATACGTTTAAATAACATTCTGGCAATTAGATGTACGCTTCGCTACTAACAAAAAGTCTTCATGACGGATCGAAGGCGTGATGAACGAGAAAATAATTTTCATGCCATTGGCAAGAACATGATAGATACTTATAACAAACCTTTCAACAAGCGGTGTTGGTCTAGTTAGGTAGTAACAAGTATGCCACGCCAAGTACCAGTGATCGAATCCCATGCTCAAGTTTTTTTTTATTGTTTTTTTTTTGTCGCTGGTTTTTATGATGTTTCCAAAACATGTTATAAGACCAGTTTTTAGTTGTATAAGCTCCGCGTCTTGCGCTTTTTAGGTTGTATAAATGTATTAAATGATGTATATTAAAGTATTAGTGATTCTTTGCGTTAGTCATTACAAAGTATTTTCAACTTCTTTATGACAAGCCGTGTTGCTTGGGATATTCCAGAAAAAACACTACTCTAGATTTTACATGTACTCTAGGAAACCAGCTGGTTGTAAGGTGCGATAAAATTAGGGACTTAGGAGTAATTCTTGACTCGAAGTTGACATTTGTAGATCATGTGAATACCACAATTCACAAAGCAAATAATATGTTGGGATTCATAAAAAGATTTAGTTATCATTTTAAAGACCCATATACACTTTATATAGCTTACGTGAGACCAATTCTCGAATACTGCAGTGTGGTTTGGGCTCCATACCATGAAACTTATATAAATCGTATGGAATCAGTTCAAAAACAGTTTTTGTTATTTGCTCTTAGGAAACTAGGCTGGACCTCTTTTCCCCTTCCTTCTTATGAGTCCCGTTGCATGTTGATAAACATTGAAACACTTAAGAAACGAAGAGAAATTTCCATGATTTTCTTTGTCAATGATATTATCTCACAACGCGTAAATTCAGAAAAAATATTAGCAAGATTAAATTTTTACGTACCATCACGCATGTTAAGAACTCGAAATGTATTTCAACTGTCACCTCACAGAACGAATTATGGTAAAAATGGACCAATTAATAGAATGATGAGAGTGTATAATAATTATTGTGAGCATATAGATCTAACGATGTCTAAAGATACAGTAAGGAGAACACTAACTGCTATGATTTCATCTCGTTAAGTTTAAAACAATTTTTATTTTTTAGATATTTGTATATGCAGTCTACATTTGCTGACAATTTCAAATAAAACGTATGTTTTAAAATAGCATGTAAGGCAACAGCACTATTGTAAAACGGTCTACACTGATTGACGACAAATAAATAAATAAATAAATAAATAAGCTTTGAATAAGGTAAATCAGTTATAATCATTGAATTGGTGCTGTTTCTTTTAATCTTTTGTTCAGTTTGAATTGAAATTGAAAACTCAGTGAGGGGAGACTTGGTCCTACGAAGATTAGACGAACTTAATTCAGAGATGGGAGTATGAAAACATAATTATCTATTTGGAGAGCTCTAATCTCCCAGAATGTTGACATATTCGATCCCGAGATGTGTGTAAACAGCATCTATATCTTAAAAAGGCAATCAAGCCACAATCACAATTTTAAAACTGTGTTTCCTGACAGATTATATTATTTATTTTTTGCTGCCTTTGTTAACTTTGTTTAATCTTTGGAACTAGCTGTTTATGTCAATAGATGGTCATTATTTTAATGAAAAAAGTATCAAACCACGGAAATGCTTCCTTTCGGAGTTATTAATTATGTCCCGCTAGATTGCATTCCTGACCTACTGTGAAAGTTCATTCCTTGGCAAAAGCTCTTCATTGCTGTGTTCTATGTGAATTTACATAAGAAAATTATATTACATTAATTATACATTATATTACAATAACTCGAAAACATTAGAACTTTGACGCCTTCGAAAGAGTTGTTTAATTTTGTTAAGGTTAACATTAGGATGGGACAAGTTTATATGGCGGAGTTAAATACCCTGTTCCTCACTGTTTTTATTCGATCTGTATTGAGGTCCCCAACGACTGTGCGAAATTTGATTGAATTTGGTTAAGGTCTGGATTTGCTAAATTAACTTTAAATTTTGGATGGGAAAATGCATCACTCACTCATGTTTCCTGAAAGATTTTCATCCTGGGCGGCTGGTCGCTTTTGTCCTGACCTGGGCCCAGTTCAGATTTCTGACGATTTCTATTATATCCATGTTGAGGCTTGAGCCATGAGTCCCAGGGTCTGCCTCAGCTGCGATGTCCTGTCGGGTTCCAATCAAGCGCTTGCATGCATGTTTCATTTCCTCCCCTTTGTAGTATGAGGTCGGTCCACATCCACTTACGTTCTCGAATTTCTGTCGATATCGGCTTCTGATGACATCGACGATGGAGCTCAGCATTCCAGATCCAGTTGGAAGGCCGCCAGGCACGAATTATATACCGCTGGCAACGATTGGTAAAGACCTGATACTTTTAAGTGTTCTCTGCTGATGCACACCACGAGGGAAAATGTATAGGAAACGGAACAAAACTATTCATTTGGTTGTCAAAAATTCTAAAATTGCACAATTTGGACTAAACCTGGAACTTGGATTTGAAAAGCTATGCAGAACGACTTCTATGCGCATGATTTTCGAACTACAGTGAGGAATCCTTATTCATGGATGTTTTTTCTGGATACTTGTACGCCGTTTGTTTGCTGAAAAGTATAACATATTTGGTCATCATTCTATCAACTGAATCTCAAGGATCTTGGAATCCGAATAAAAGAATACGGGTAAAAAACCATCCTATATCTGATTCGGTCAATAGATGGTCCTCATTGTAATATGAAACTTGGATGAACACACACAGTCTCGGAAATGCTTCGTTTTGGAATTATTAAATTTAAATGGCTTTAATTAAAATCCATGGAAAAGGTGTGAAGAAAAAACAACAATTTAAAATAGTTTTAGCCTAATTTGGCATCAATTCTTAACGTTATTCTTGGTGAAAAAAATGAGAAATTCAGATTTTCGTCGAGAGTAACCCAATTCAACTTGTTCGCAACTACAACCTATTGAATGGAAATTTTAAAGAGCATCTTCAAAAGGATATTAAGAATTCTAAAACCTTAAAATAGTCAAAAATATACTGTAACGATGCGTTCAAAAAACATGAAAATGCAGTATCTAAAACATTATAAGAGGAATAAAATCTAACATGATACCAGTCACTTAAAGAATAATTTTTGTTTTGCTTTTCTTTGTTAAGTTTCAAAGAAGGCTATCACACACATACCTAATCAAAGATTTTTTTTTATTGAAAAATATTTTGTACGGAATTGGAAGGAAATTTTTGTTTACAACTTATTTTCGATACAGTCTTCACATTCCTGGCAGCAATAATAAACATTTCAAAGTTTGAAGATTTGTGAACTAATGGTGGTAAGCTCCAACCGGTATTATCCTCGGATTAAATCCCGATCAAGGATGTCCGGCTGCTTTATTGTCGACATCAGAGTTAATTAACACGACTCTAAGCAATCATTTTGCAGATCCACCAAACAAGGTCGGTATTAAAAGTTAATCCGAGTTGGAGCCTACTGCCATAAGTGTTTAGATTTTAAGCCATTACGGCACTTAGACATTTCCCCTGCCTTATATTGATCCAACTTAGCCCTGTCTACTTGTTATAACTTAGTTTTAACGTTTTACAGTAGTAGTAACCTTTCTCTGCCATTGTATTTTCATATTTTCAGGAGGAAGCAGGACGAGGTGGCGACGCTCGTCGATTCGATCAGACAAAAATCGGAGCAGCAGAAAAAGGCCGGCGTCGAGCTTGACGCTACTTGTCACATTTGTCTCAAAACCAAATTTGCGGATGGCATCGGACACATCTGCAATTATTGCAACATCCGTTGTTGTGCCAAATGCGGAGGCAAAGTTACACTGCGTAACAATAAGGTGAGTCCTGTGGTGGTAGTTGTGGTTAAATATGGGTGGGATGAAAGAAGTTATGCATAGCAGAGGGCTCTCGTAGTGCTCCTTAGTTTTCGTTTATCATGGCATTTCTTTTTGTTTCGGCATGAATATTAAAAATAAAAGACAGACAATACCAACCGGATTGCCTCACTATTGTTGAGAGGCAGACGTACATTCTAAATAGCAGGCACCAGAATGCCAGGCGCCTATGCCGGTGAGATTAAAGCACCATTAAGCGTCTAAAATGAAAACACACGATAGACAATAGACTTGAATGGCTCAATTTGGGAGGATGGAAAACATCTTTTCCTTTGGCTGTGTTTTGTATTGATTCATGATTATGCTGCACAATAATGCTTGATATTAAATTCTATGAAATATTACACCACCAATACTGGGTGATTTCAATAAAACGGGGGTAGCCATTTCTCAATGTTGAACAAGTACATATTCATCAATGGATTCCGGAGAAAAGTGTATTCAAATGTTGGGTATTATGAATAGATCTTAAGGTTCAATTTATTTTGGTCCAATGTCAAAAGTAGTTTTTTTTTCGACGCATTATTTCAGATTGCAAAAATTTCGTATCATTTTATGTAAAAATAGCTAAAGGAATTAAATGACAGTAGAGCTTTTTGCAATCTGAAATACTGGGTTTGAATTTTTCGACATCTCACCAAAGTCAATTGACCCTTAAATGCATTCTTCGATGAGCTGTGGGACATTTTGAAGGATGTAATGAGGAAATGGGCCATGTAAAATTTCCATTGAAATGTCAACAAGAATGTTTTGAGAATATCTTGAAAAGTAGAAACGAGAAAAATGCATTCGAGACACTGTAAAAAATCATTGCTTGTGTTAGGACAATTACGTCAAAGAATTCTAGATGAATATAAGTAGATTTTCTGCGTCATTCATTGCCTTTTCATAAAACAGTAAAAAAGGTTATCTTCAATTTAACTCCACTTAAATAATTTTGGTATCCATGACAGATACGTATTTCGACTACAATGTGCAGTCTTCATCAGTGTCATTCCCACTAAAGAACCTATCGAAATCTAACCCCATAGGTAAAAAGTCAAGATCACAGGTATAAAAATGAAACTACAATGTGTTGTATTAATGGCCCTTCGCTCATTTTCAACTTCTAAGCAATTTTCGCACTGCCGTACTCTAGCGTAACTATCAACCTACCCTCTTCAGAACTTTCTCCAGCTTATAAATTATCACACTAAAGCTTCATGTTGATATTTGATAGCATTTCCACACCTTAAAATTTTAAAAGGATTATTTGGTGAAAGTTACAAGAAATTTACCAGTGAAGCCAAAAGAAATTTCTAATGCTAAAGTTTGAAGAAACTTCCGGAGGAATCTGATGAACTTCTAAGAGAAATCGGAAGAATTTCCCAGAAGAAGTCAGACAATGTTGTCCCGCGGGAAGTCAGATAAAATTTACGGGGAGGCCAGGATAAAATTCTCAAATAATCAGAATACATTTACATGCTATCAAGGAATTCGGCCGGAATTTCCTTCTTTTCCTACCCGATTTTGGCGCTCTTAAACGAATATCGCCTGCACTCAACTTAGTGTGCTTGAAGCACTTCCACAGTTATTTATTAAGAGATTTCTATGCCATCCAATGGCAAGCACAATAATACTTAGGGAAGTCGAGAATATTTCTAATCGGGAAGATTTCGTGGACAAAACCGGGAATCGAACTCGCCACTACCGACTTTGTAATAACGTGCCTTCACTGAGTAGGCTTTATGAGGCTCCCAACTTCCGGATAAAGCTTCCAGGAAAGTCGATAAAACTTCTGGAATAGTTAAAAACTATTGAATAGAAACTTCCAATAAAAGTTTAAAAAAAAAACTTGCTGAAGAAGTTGGATGAACCTTCCAGCGGAAGTCAAAAGAAGTTATCGTGGAAGCCAGAAGGAATTTATAGAGAGGCTTCCGATAAAATCAGATGAATCAGAAAAATCAGAAGATTCTTTTGGCAGAATTTAGAAATATCTTCTGGGTCAAAATAAACTGAAGACTAGTCGTAAAGAAAAATCCCGAAGAAGTTGGAAGAAAATTCAGAGGTAGCTTGTATTTTTTCCCGATCGATGTAACTTAATGTTTTCTGATCTTGAATTGAAATGTTGTTACACTTTTCGAGATTCTGCCGACAAAAAATTCGCCAACAATTATCCATGTTACCTTATGAATCAGCTATAAAATAAAACCACATCAAAAATGCAACATCTATAATCGTTCCTCTCGCACGATGTCTCTAAGCATGCATTGAATTCACTCTCGCATAGTCTCACAAACTAAACAACCACAGAAAGTGAACAATGGGACGGCAATTGTGTTCGACGGTAGCTAGCATCCGCATGTGTTCAGTGCCTTGAAGTGGATAAATTAGCAAAAAGTACCCACAATATTGCTAACAGTGAGGCAGCTGCACAAACATTTTACCCGGTGATCAACACTCGCATGACATATAGTTAATTGGAGGTAAAAAGCTGTGATTGGCGCTACATACTGAGTATTAATCCATTAAAGGGTGATACGGTCAAAATTTGGTCAAGGGAAAACGCGTGTAAATCGGTGAAATCGTTTATTTAAAAAATTAAATTAAATTTCTTTTTCAAGTTCAATTAGTATAAAATTCAGGAAAAATATTCACTTAGGCTTCCGCTTTTTCAAATCCGAATTGCCGGGCCTTACGCTTGACCCCTGCCATCAGATTTTGTACAGCCACCTTGTCCACCTTCTTCGCCGCAGAAAGCCAGTTTGCCTTGAACTGCTGCTCGCCCTTAGCAGTTTTTTTGGTCTTCTTTAGGTTCCGCTTGACAATAGCCCAGTATTTCTCAATTGGGCGGAGCTCTGGCGTGTTGGGAGGGTTCTTGTCCTTGGGAACCACCTGCACGTTGTTGGCGGCGTACCACTCCATGGCCTTTTTACCGTAATGGCAAGATGCCAAATCCGGCCAAAACAGTACGGAACAACCGTGTTTCTTCAGGAAAGGCAGCAGACGTTTATTCGAACACTCTTTCACGTAAATTTCTTGGTTGACAGTCCCGAAAGCTATGAAAATGCTGCTTTTCAAGCCACAGGTACAGATGGCTTGCCAAACCAGATATTTCTTTGCGAACTTTGACAGTTTCATGTGCTTGAAAACATCTGCTACCTTTCCCCTTCCTTTTGCCGTATAAAACTCCTGTCCCGGAAGCTGCTTGTAGTCGGCTTTGACGTAGGTTTCGTCGTCCATTACCACGCAGTCAAACTTCGTCAGCATCGTCGTGTACAGCCTCCGGGATCGCGCTTTGGCCGTCGTATTTTGTTTATCATCGCGATTTGGAGTCACTACCTTCTTGTAAGTCGATAGTCCGGCTCGTTTTTTGGCTCGATGCACGGTTGTAGACGATACACCCAGCTTATTTGCGGCATCTCGGAGAGAGAGGTTAGGGTTTCGCTTGAAACTACCGGCAACTCTCTTTGTCGTCTCAGCGGCTTCCGGTTTTCGATTTCCCCCCGATCCAGACTTCCTGGCTGTCGACAAACGTTCCCCAAACACTTTAATTACATTTGTAACGGTTGATTTGGCAACTTTTAGCGATTTTGCCAACTTTGCGTGCGAGTAGCTCGGATTTTCGCGATGCGCGAGCAAAATTTTGATACGCTGCTCTTCTTGCTTGGACGGCATTTTGACAACTGAAGAGTGAATTCAAAAATCAAAATAGGAGCAACATTCTACACACACACACACCTTCAAAATGAGGGGTGTTCAGGTTTTTTAAATGCAAAATTGAAAGAAATACGTCAAGTTGATATTGACCAAATTTTGACCGTATCACCCTTTACTTTCCCCAAAAGGGATGTGCCATTGGCCTTGAGTATCACGTGCCTAAAGCATAAGGAGGTATCTGTACAATTGACCCAAACAGTTTGTCGCAGATACAGAGCCGCACCACGAAACATACAACTGGACTCCGTCGGGGTACTACAGATAGACGACAAACCGACATAAACCAGCCAAAAGGTAACCTGAACTGCTCATTGAGACCTGGGTTGATTGTAGACTCTAACCTTACAGTGCTGATCGTCTACCGCAGCCATCGACAGAACGACGAGTCACGATCTTCCAGTTCACAACGTGGAGGTACAAAGGCCTTCGAAAGATCAGGCCACTACATATATGGAACGATAGGTCAACGTTGTGTCACCTCGACAGAGGGCCTTTATTTCCAGATCTAATTCCTTGGCAGTCCAGTACGGCAGCGACCGTGCCACTCGGACGACTAGTCGCGAAACTCCAAGATCCGCGCATCCCGGACCGTGGCCTGGAGTGGGCCAATCTTCTGTCGGTATTTTCTCTTCCAGGCTGCCTAGTGCAGCGGTGCAACGTGCAGTGCAAGTGCAGGATCTGTGTAGACGACGCGGCAGTAGCCATAAGACAGTGCGACGGGCTACAACGCACTATGGGGCATTTTCATACAACCAGGCGGTCAAAAATATTTCTATAATTTTTTCACAATTTCTGCTATTTCTTGCTTTGTTTCATCAATATAAGGTGTGCGTTATCACTTTTCAACATTTTCACGACCAACTTTTGAAAAGGGCCTAACTTTTGATTAATTAAAATTTAATTTTTACGATTTTATAACGGTTACAGTTTCAAGCTTGTTTTCAGAGAATAAAATCTATTGAACAAAGACAACCTACCATGGTTTTATTGGGGGGAACACCTTAAAAAATTAAAAAAAAACCTTTTTTTTTGGAAATATGTTTATTTTTTTCAACAAATCTTCTGTAAAAAAAAAACACAAAAAGCCATGATACAATAATCAAAATCAAATATGTTTCAACGAATTTCTTTTTATTCCTCTGTTACAATATCATCATGAACAAATTCTTCTTCAATTTCATCGACTGCTTTCATAAGTTCCTCCAAGGCATTGAAGTTATTAGTATCGACTACTGAATCACTTACAGAATTTTCAAGTATCATGAATCTTTTCACGATGTCGGGATAATCCAGGGATACTTTTTTCGGTCGTCTTTTTGCCATCCAAATGGAACTGATCAGTGGGTCCGATTCATTAATGGCACGAATAAAGACATCATGTAAATTTTCTACTCTTGATCGTTTTCTTGCATGATGGGTTCGATATTTTTTCAATTGTTTATGTTGACTTTCTGCTGCCTCTTCCGCTAATGAACCAAGTGGTGCTGGTGAATGTATGATTATTTCTCCGGCATGAGCGAGAACTTTAAGCACGGTTGCAGGAATTTTGTACCAATCATACAATTTAAGATAGAGCCTTTATTTTTCCTTGCAATATGCATCAAATTTTTCCGGGTTTATTGGCTCTTGGCAGTTAAAAGCAATTAATATATTCCGGAATCTGAAAATTAATTCTTCATCAATGTTCAGGACGGAGCTTAAAAGCTTGGGATTTCCAAATGCTCTTCGACAAACGTTTCCTGTAGTACTGGTACCTGCTCCACCCGATCGTGGTTGATCTACTCTTACTCCAAATTTTTCGTAAAGCTGTGTCGTCACATGTTTTTTTCTTTGTTATAGTTCTTTGAACGGTTTCGTTATCTTCCATTTTTTGATATCCATTCTTTATGCAATATGCAAAAGGCATTCGAAAAATCTTATCCAAGCATGAAGTGGAGATATGCCGTAATGCAAGGCTTCTTCGTTTGATATAAATCCTTCCTCGAATTTCTCTGCATCATTCATTACATTTGGTGTTGCCCCACATATTGGACAATTCTGCATCGACGAATTTCCAGTGATATAAGTTAAGACTTTTCCGTCTATCATACTGAGGACAAAATGAAAATCAACAAGTATAAACTTGTCGTTTGAGAGTTCAATTTTCACTGGCGTTAGTTCACTCATTTCTTTTTCTACATCCTGTTTTGTAGCCAGAATAACTTCTTTACTCTCTTTAATGAATTCAAGGATGAATGGCCTACAAAATCGAATACTTTGAGGCATGGGATTAAACCACATAATTTCCTTTCGATCATTGTACATGAACAACTGAATTGGTGTTAAAGTGGACGAAAATACATCTGAATCGTCCTGACATCCTTCTGGTAGCACTTGATGATATTGCGAATATCCAGTATGGACGGATCGTCCATACAAATAGACGCTACATAGAAGAACCAGTTCCGTAGAAACTAGATCGTTGCTATCCATATACTCGTTGAGCTCTGCATCAATTATTTGGACGATTCGTTTCACTGTATTTCCATCAGCGCCTGGAGTTTCACTCTTATTTTCAATGCACTTTCTTCGATGAATTCACTAGGAGGGGCGCATATTTTTTTCACTGCTCCGATCACATAGTAAGGTGGAAATCTTGAAGGTGATTCACTATGTATTACTTCGTATTAAAATCTACTCAATCCAGCCTCGATAAGTACACTAAAAGCCTCTTCTGGTGACATCATTCCTCGTTGATCAGTTAGTTGAGCCAGCATGGTTTTAGAGCTTTTTTGGTTTTTTAAAATATGCCCAATAACTTTAACTAAACTAAAATCCTTTCGATTATAAGCGGTCCGTCTTGCAAATAACAAAGCTTTCTCGATGGTATCGAATTTTGGATCAACTGCTTCTTTATCAATGACGCGACGTTTTCCTCTTTCACTCAAATCCAAGGAAGGTTTTGAAGGTCGGCCACGTTTTGTTCCCGAGGCCGAGGTTGAGGCAACACATTGCTCCTGTTCGATGAATTCCTCGATGCCAAATTCTCCATCAAGGCAATTCCGAAAATACGACTCAAATCGCTCTTTCGTGCGATTAGCTTCATGCCATTTGTTGATGTTTTTAGTAACGATTTTATGGATCTTTTCATCGAGACGTTTACGTTTTTCCACCGAGATGTTATAATTTTCACAAATGAATTCAATGGCTCTGTGAACATTGTCACTATGGCTTAATTTTGCGTCTAATAGATTAATAATGGTTCTATTATCCATGCTCACACTTGGTCTCAACCGTAAATTTGAATTACACTGTAGTAGTTTAAATAAAAGCTACACAAAATACACTATGGTTTCAAATTGACACTACAGTAGGTTAAGTACAGACTTAGGTATGAATTAAACTCATCCGCGCATATGCGTAGGTACATTCTTACGCATATGCTTCTATAATCGTCATAGCCCAGGTACTTACTTTAGAATAAAGCATAAACGAATGTAGTTTTACGTTCATCCAACAGTGAACTTTATGATAATGATGACTTCTTTTTGTACAAAAGCTTAAGCCCTTTTTAAAAGTTGGTCATGAAGTATTAGAAAATGTTCTTCAACAATATATTTCGACTATACCAACCGAATATAACTCCAAAAGTTGCAAAATAATTGTTGAAAAAGTTTGTTTCCAAGCCGGCTCTTGTACAATTTGAAATCTCCCATAATAACCGAAAATTTACAAATCGCTTATATTTCCAATGGGGCAGGCAAACTCTTCAGTACTTGTTAGAGTACACTCAAAACTTCATCCAGAGCTGAGAATTAGCCTGGGAATGTGCGAGACTCGAAAGTTTGTGATCAATAAAGTTAAATTTCACAGCAAAAAAATAATTTTGATATCACATCAAAGTGGATGCACTACAATCATGTCGAAAATTTCATGTAATTTTTATGACCACATAAATAAACAAATGCAGTAAAAGCAGCGTAATGTCAGTTCATGCATTGTATTAATGATAATTTTGAACTTTTTAGCAAGTAATATTACACCATATTTTCGACATGATTGTAGTGCATCCACTTTGACGTGATATCAAAATTATTTTTTTGCTGTGTTTCATTAATTTTCAACTATTTTTATTTTTAATTTTTTTTGTCTCCACCAAATTTCCAAATGGATTTTATTTTCAGAAAGCTTATTAAATTACCTTTCCAACGATGTATAATGATGTGGTAGTTATATGATAAATAGTGGATGAAATTTTATTTGAATGGTAGTGTATTTTTGCGGTAAAATTTGTACTTTTCTTACTCTTTTTTGACTTCGACATCCGATATCTCAGAAACTAAAACTGCTAGAAGCTTGAAACTTTCAGATGCTCTTAGTTGAAATGTTTACTATCGACCAAAAATAACGAAATAAGGATTAGTGAAAGTCGATTTTTTGATTTTTGACCGCCTGATATCTGATAGTGCAACGGTGCAACGGAAGGGTCGCTGCATGACGCGCACTACTACTACTACATGCTACATTGCATGAAATGTGCCAGAACTTTACATGATATATAATGTAAACGGAAATGATATGTGACGCTCCATTCATGTGCATCATATTGAATAGAAATTTACACTACTTTTTCAAACTGTGAGCGGGAAAATCTATCATCTCTCCCTGATTTCCAAGAAGCCAAAAATGGCCGGAAATTGTAAACACTACACCCAACCGGGGGATGTAAGATTCGCTTACAATTATGTGGGATACATCACCGAAAAATGTGGTGTGTATTAGTGAATGAAATTAATTATGTCGAAAAAATAAATAGAAAAAAGGTATATGGGGTTTAGGTGTATTAGTGAGTGAAATTAATTATGCCAAAAAAAAAAAATATAAAAAAAAATTGCCGACTGGACTCGAACCACGAATGTTGCGATTGTCAGACCTGTGCTTTCTCTTTGCCTAAAAGCAAACAGGAAACGCCCATTTCCTCTCATACTCGACTTCGTATGTTTTTCTTTGCTGGAGAGATTCAAGGCATGTGTGTGCGTTGTTCTACAATATTATAAATAAAAAGTTTACTGGTATAGTAGATGGCGTTGATAGAACACGAGATAAAAAGACAAAAAACTATTACATTGCCTGCAAGGTCAACTTTTAACATTCGCTGCGATATTCATGAACAGAGGATGATAGGAAATGGAACCAACATTCATTGTAATCAATTTTTGGTTTGCGTGTAGTCTTGAGACTAGAAGGGATCTGAATTGTACCAAACTCATCTAATCATATCGGATTAAAAAAATATCAAGCATGCCAAACCAGAAGCCCAGGACAATATTTGTCACATCCGGCCCCTACAGAAGTGCTCTCTTCATGGCTTGGCTCAAAACCCATCTTGCGACACATCAAATTACAACAGATTTAGAACAAACAAGTTCAATGACAGCCAAACCGAATTTTCAGTTCAGTTTTACTTTTCGAAACTCTTTTGATTGCAAAAAAAATGTATGCAACTCGTTTTGCTATCCTCTATGTACAAATAAAACAGTACAAATTAAATTAAAACAGTAGGAGTATCATTCTGCCAACAGCTCACTTAGGTACTGCACCCAACCGAGATTATCTTACAGCTTGTTTTTTTTATTAATAAACTCTTGTGAACATTTTCATGTACTACAAAAACAAGTCAATTTCGGTGCTCTGCAATAATTGTATCAAATATGTAAGTGACCTTGATCGATTCTCTTTTGATAGCCACAGCTTTATAAACAGATTTTGCGCTATTTATGTCACATAGTTTGATAAAGGAGGTTCTCATCTAACATCCAGAATGGCACACGGATCAAGGAATGTGTTTGCAGCTAAATTATTAATGAAAGAGAAAATCGATGAAGAGAATCGATCAAAGTCACTTACACCCCTTTACTTCTAACCCCCTCAACTATTATTGAAACTGCAAGCACAAATCATTTTAATCTGTTACCTTAATGTACATACTACTGTAATCATGATACTGTTGGTAATAACCAATTTAATAAACATTACTTTTACTTAATCCACAGGTGATATGGGTATGCATTGTCTGCCGGAAGAAGCAGGAATTGCTTTCTAAAACTGGACAATGGATCAACAAAAGCACCAGCCCGGACGGGACAGGCCGCCGGTACGAGGGAGATCCAAGAGTAAATAAGTTCAATGCATGTCATTTTTCACGGTAAACTAAATGTTGCTTTCTTGCAGGCCTTTCAAACACTTGACCCGCACGATCCCTCCGACAAACGACCAAAACTGGAACGAGCAAAAAGTGCTGCTGAAAAGGAAAATAACCCTATGCAGCGTTCCGGTAGTCAACTTAGGCGACAGTATTCTCAGCAAGATGCTCCACCGCGGCGGTTGTCACAATCAGACAGCGGGGTAGACGTATCGACTGGGCCACCCCAAACACGATTGCCAATGCCTCGGATGAATCCCCAGGATGGCCAACAGCAAGGTCCCTATAGCCAGTATATGCCCGGTCTTCCTCAGCCCCCGTTGCAACAGACATCGTATCACCCGTCTCATATGAATCCTCAGGTGCAGATCACACGACCCAGTGGTAACGTGGGGATGAGTGGCTATCCACAGGAAGATCCTTCTTTCTATCAGGTAACGAAGCTATGCTTTTGCAATGTGTGTCATTCATTTAACTAAAATCATCGTCATCATCTATCATTCATAATCAGGATGAGATTGAAGATCTAATGCGTGCTCATCCGCATTTGGTTCATCCTCGGCAGCAGCAACACTACGCGGAGTCAATGCAATCCGCGGCACCCAGTTATGGCAGCGGAAGCAGCAGTGGGATAGTGTTGCCACCAGAACCAATCAAAAAACACAAACGCCCAACGGGTGGTCCTTATCTTCCACAGCAACGATCTTACAGCAGTTCCGACGAAGATATTCGATCTACGCCGGAATACGAAGGTCAGTGTGTTTGTTTGTCGTTGTTTGATCCTTCTGTACTACTGATTTGTTTCTTTTCTGTTTGATTATCTTTCCTAATCTCTGATTTGATCATTTGAATTCTTAATCCCTAATTTTACTGAAACGAAATGTGTCAAGCGGCAGAGTGTTGTTAATGACTTAGGATGCATAAAACATGCAAAGTGTGAGGAACTGAAACGTGGTTAAGCATTGTACTAAATTTGCTAAGAGTCGAAAGGGATAATGCACATAGAAACGAGTCTTCGATTTTGGATGGGAGTAGTTTAAAAGATATTATATTGACGGAATGGAATAATGAAGAGACAGAAATGTCTGGGATAAAAATAACTATGTTTTATTGATTGCATTTTTGCACCAATCACTTTTATCATTTATTTTCATTATTTTAGTGTCCTGAAAGCAATTTAATCAACTTTTAGTCTGTATTCCTTTGATTAAATCTTAGCGTGTTTCTAGTATTATGTTTGCATTAGGGACAGTGCATAAAAGGCGTAACAGTAAAAAAATGTTGAACTCAGAGTTCATACAGTTATGAAGGTTGATGGGTTATTAGCTATTTCTATTGAAAAACTTGAACTTTTGATAAAAATTCAAATGAGACATCGATGAGCAGAAATACATTCTTCATTGTTTCCATAAATTGCTATAGATATTTGATCGTTCATTAGACTGATTTTTGTTTACTCAACCTCAGATTTATAATGGGCTGCAAGTCCATTTTTCGGAATTTCTCACTTTGACGCCAGTCAATTGCCTGTGATTGGTTCATTGTAGATCTCCATTGTTGTTGTTCTTGTCATGTACCTTTAATTATTCTGAACTTTTAAAATCTTCGTAAAATTGTTGATGAGTACTATCTCTGATTGTTTTTTTTTTTCTGAAAGTCTCTCCATAGACTGTTCTTTTTTTTGTTAGTTCTACAATATTCCCTCTTTTGTAATTGTCCTTTTTATTATTTCGCAATATAGATAAATCATCTCTCAAAAGTGCGATACGGTGTAATATACAAAACTCTGATTCTACACGTATTGGTATTTAATGTCTCGGTTTTCTCTGTTTTCATTGAGATAAGTAAAATTATTTAAAAGTGTCAGGACTAAGATTTTAAAGCAAGGACAAAATTTAATATATCGGTGTGTTGGTAAGATGAATATATATGCAAAATGAACGACATGCACTTAACAAGATACAGTATCCATTCGATTTAGAATCGGTTCTATTAATGCTAGCTTTCTCCCGATCAAACTTTAAAAAATCGCATCGTTGAGCCACACTCCGTGTTTTAACTGAAGATCCACTAGGGTGCACCCTCGGGTGCCTGCCAAACTCGAGAGCCTCTCGAGAAAAGTTGGCTATAATTTCCCGGGAAATCGGAAGACAATTACTAGGGGTCTCTCTTAGCTCATTTGGTAAAGGTGCAGCTACAAAGCAAGACCATGCTGGAGGTGACAGGGTTCGATTCCCGGTCCGTTCTAAAACATTTTCGGGTTGTAAAATTTCTCAACTTCCCTGGGCATAGAGTATGATTGTACTTTCCACACAATTATACTAATGCAAAAATAATGCAAGCACCGAAAGCTCTCAATTAATAACTGTGGAAGTGCATCTAGAACACGAAGTTGAGAGCACGCAATAAGCTTATATGCGATAAGCAATAAGCTTGAAATGCGAATAAGAAGAAGAAGAAGAAACATATTTAAAGGGGAAGAACCTCGAAAAAAAAAATTCCAGTGTAAGTTGGGATACATTTCCGGGCATGTCTGGAGAAGCTTTCAGAGGAAGCTGAAAATGACTTCTGGGAAACTCATAAGACAATTCCAGTGGAAGCTGAACAAGTTTTGATTAAGAAGACGGAAGCTGGAAGATACCTCCTGCACGGAAACAAATCAGATTCCATTTTCATGAATAAAAAATCATGAAATGAAAAAACTTGCCATCCAATGAAATCGTAACAATGATTCATGATTTCGTCGTGGAAATTCATGATTTCATAATGCAGTGGAATCAAGCCCGCTACAAGCGTTACACGTACTTAGCAAACCGTGTTCATAAACCGCACTACATAGGTATATCTTATACGCCTTTTGTCTCCCATCTTATACAAGTACTGATGGGTTCAATGATCTCAAGGTTCTTGGTTCGAATCCAGTCTGATGTTTTATTTTACATTTTTTGGTTAAAATTTAAACTCATGAATTTAGCTCATGATTTCATCTCGGATGATTCATGATTTTGGGAATGTTTGCTGCGTTACGCAAAAGTTGCTCATGATATCATGAATATTATTCATGGTGTATTTTCATAACATGAAAATACGCTGTGTTCATGAATTCATGAGTCATTTTTCTCATTTCGGAGATCGATTTTTTTCCCGTGTGAGATAGTTCTATAGAAATTCAGAAGAATCTTCCAGCGTAATCCAGAAAGGTTTTGGGTGGTTAGAAGAAACTTCTCACTTCTAAAAATCTGGCTCTCTGGGATATTTTCTAAAGATTCCCATTCAAAGCGATTGATCATCTATAAAGTCCTCTAAAAAGTTCCTCTGAGTTCTTCGAGCTTCCTCTTCTTATCATTCAGAAGCTATGCTATGAGCTTTCAAGTACTTGATTGGACTCCTATTCTAGCCCTGTATGGTATACTGCTGATCTGGATTTTGATGAATATTATAACAATGAAATCGAAGGCTGTTGAAATGGCCTTTTGATGTCGTCAAAATTCTTGTATTATGTATTTCCAGATCCAAAAATTCTACGCACGAGCATTCCGCATAGATTTTCTGTTGGCTTGCAGTTAAGAAAAAGCAGACCACAGGAGATCATAAATTTATTGACGTTAAGTCACTACTTAGTATCGGCACTCTTGTTAACAAATCAGCGTAACCCGAGAGTAACGATAGTTGACTAATTCCAATATCATTTATGCAGCCTTTGCTATCTATCGTCTAGAAGTGAAAGCGAACAGCCAACAGTAGTTTGCTCTCGATAGTAGAATGCCTCTATGCCATACAGTTTCGATCACCAAAATTGCGTGACGAAAAATGTGTTTCTATATATGGTTTACTCGAGTTTCTAGAACAGGAATATAGTAATGCCCTAGCGCGTCACATTTTTAAGCACCGCATACCTATATTTTATTTTATTTATCTTTACACGATCCCATTCGTTTATTGTTATGCCGATGCATGTGTTATTGTTGTCTTGGTGGGAATTATAGTAAGAAATTACTACAAGAACATGTGAAAATGCTATCTTGATGCTTACCCTTCGTTTTTAAAATTGTAGTCGCGGTACCATTCACCCTCTTGATAGATTTTTTTTTTCACTGAAAAGTCAACAGACAGCAAATTCAAGGATGGCAGGGAGACGAACCAACCCAGGGCTAAAAGTCTCCTTAATAAAGATATAAAAAAACAAGGATTCCTTCATCGTTTTACGCAGCTACAGTAGCATATTTGCGAATAATATACTTTTTGAAACACTAGAAAACATCCGCGAAATTCATTAAAAAAAAAGGCAAAAACAAACACTACAAAAATGACAAAATAGCACTTAACTACCAAGCCAGTTCAAAGACAGTTTTAAATGTGTGAAAATTATTTGAAAACATTAAAATAGTCATCGAAACGCATAAGGTATCAAAACGACAAAGTAGAATTATCGACTCTGGTGCTACTTTCAACGCCAAAATGACCTCATAAATGCAAAAAAAAATGGTCTTAAATAGCAAATTTCTTACCTCAAAACGCTAAGATGGCATTAAAAAACCCTGAAAATATCCAAAATAATCTCAGACCACTGAACTAAACGTCAAAACACCACGATTAGTCTTTCAATCACTTCTCTTATAATAATTTTGAAAACGACAACTCGAATTGATACGTCATCCTAAATGGTCCTAAAAACGCCAAAAATGTTAAAATGACTTAGATTTTCCAAAGTGGCTTATATATGTCAAAATGACCTGTAAACGCATTAATATTCCAGGTAGAACAGCCCTGAAAATGTTAAAAAACTTGAAAAAGGGTAAAATATTCAAGTAACAATTTAGGTTTTATGAGGATTCTGTAGACCATGCTGGGCCTCGATAAAGCTTGTAGTGTTTCTTGCAGCGTTGGAAAAATATTTATAAAAAAAAATCAAATCTCATTGTAGAACAAGATCACGCTTGATTTTCGTCGACAAAAATTAAAAAGCAAACAGCTGCGGTTGATATGCAAGTTTTGATATGTAACTCGGAATATCAAGCTAAAGCGAAGCCCACACGTGTCAATATATTGACGCGAACGTTAATTATTGACAGTAATATTGATGATGTGAACACAGAAATATTGTCAATATCTATGTATTGACATCAATATAGAATGTTTTGACAATACCATTATTGTCAATAAAAGCAATCGTGTAGGGTTCACTTAACAAAACTCATCAGCTGCAAATCCCACTGTGGTGAAATTGAGTTTCTGATTTTCACTTTACACCCGAACGCAACCGAAACTTCCATAACGCCTCGCGTCTGCCATGCACGGTAAGAAAAAAATACCCAACGGCCAGTTCACGTTTATCTACTTTTGACTAGTTTGTCTCCTTTTCTCCTTCTAATGTTGTCAAAAATGGAATAGCAAAACCATACAATAGGGGTAGTAAAGTGTGGGAACCCAACGTTGAGTATGATCATATTTACCTACTTTTGGGTACAACTAACTTACTTTTGGGTAGAAAGCTAGTGGAAAATTCCATACGAATTGCACACAAGTAAATGAAAACTACTTAGACCCGCTTTACCTACTTTTGGGTTCCTGCATTAAAGTTCTTACTTTTGGGTAATTTTTTCTTACCGTGTGGATGAAGTGAAAAAAGAGAAAACATTTTTATACCTCCTCTTTCGACGAAAACAAGGTGCAACGGAATCATTTTTGCGCTGATTCAACTTTAAGGTGAATTCCGGCCTGAGCGATATTTCACGCGCGGGGCAAGATTTTG